TCTTTCCCTTGGTCATTGAAATAAGACTAAAAAACCCGTATTTTTTGTAGTAAAAAATATTGCTCCTCCTAGGACAGCCCTTACAGGATGCCCTCCACAAAATGCCTGGTTTGATATTTTACCCTTAAAAATCTAGTTTCACTTACCTCACCTGCCTCCTTTACATATGAAATACCTTGAAGGTATTTCTTTCTGTATTTTTCACTAGGATGCCGCCGTGCTTACTGTGGAGATGGCTACAGACACGAGGGGGTTGAAGACTGTGATGGCAAAGATTTTGGATATTTGACATGTAAAACATATCTCCCTGGGTGTGTATGAGCTATCTTCGCTTTGGTTCAGTGTTTTTTTGTTGTTGTTGTTGTGGTGGTGGTGGTTTTTTTTCCTATTTATCCTTATAAGCTTTAAACCAGTAAAGTATTACCCACTTAAATATTGTTCCACTGAGACCACTGCAAGCAGTGGGGGAGAAAGAGTCTATCAGATTATTTCTGCATATCATTGACTTTAAGGGCTAAGTCTGATCGCTAAGTAATAAGCACATGCTTCTTTCCTGTATAAAAATAATGAAGGTCATATTGCCATATGTTTCGTGGTTGCTTGCAAAGATTTCCTCATTTGGTGACGTTATCATTGCATTAATGTTCCCCTATAACATACCAAGAGTAGGACTGACCGTGAGAAGGAGATGAGCACACTGAAGGAAAAGAAAAGCAAACCCAAACCACAACCTTCAACCGCCCTCCTGTTGCCCTTGCCATTAATGGGTACTCTTGGGATATCTTTGTTTCTGAATCAACCAGTCATCTCTCAGCCTTTCCAAAGACCAGGAAATTCACTCAACAGCAGATGCAAAGCCATGCATCTGCTTAGCAATGTCCTTCATTTCCAACATCTGCTTATTGTTGACTTGCCTTCTCTGCCTTTGTTTAAGCAGCTCCCTCTGGTCAGCATTTTGCCTCCAACAGCAGTACGTCTATTTAACTGTCAGGTATTGTTACTGGCTAACAGGAAGCATTTAATTTGCAAATGAAATTATGCGCAGAGCCCTCATCCCTCATGGAAGAATAATGTGCTAATTGACAGGAATAAGAAACCACAGGATGTCTTTGTAAGTCAAGTGCTGTGCTAATCCTCCCACTGCAATTGTTGGAGCACTCTTGGTGCAAGAGATTACTAAAAATCGAGACCAGCAAACCTGACAACCTGAAACATTTTACAGAGATCTCATCTTCAGCCGTCGTGGAGCTGTTTTCTACTGTGAAAACTATCCCCTTCTAAGAGTCTGAAGTTTGGTGCCAAAAATAGCACCACAAAAGTTTGAGAATTTTTTATAAATTTCGTTTTCCATGTATAATCAAGTTGTGAAGAGCAACCAAAATCCTTTATTTTTGTGAGTGCAGTCTACAGATTATCTGCTAGACTGAAAAAAAAGCTGTAACACGTCATTAAAATGAGTGTGCAGTCTGCAGATTATCTGCTAGACTGAAAAAAAAAGCTGTAACACGTCATTAAAATGAGGTAAGTATGTGAGCTTGGTGCTCCAATGGGAGTTTCATCCCAAAGCACCCTCTCCTGCTGCCACTGATTTTCCCTTTTTCTCCTCTTTCTAGTCCCCAAATCCCTCCTCATATTTCACACACCTTCACTTCAGATTTTATGTTGGTTTTTTTGAAAATGTGGGTTATCCAAAGACATAGTTTTAAGGAGCTGCTTAACTGCTCCTTAATCTGCAGTTTGTAGATTATCTGATGAATGGATTATTCACTTAGACATATTCTAGCAATAAAAACTCATCAAAATGCTTATTTTATTAACATCTCTGGTCAGGTCTTCAGTAAGTGGAGTCACTGCAGCTCAGTTTAAGTCAGTAGAGAGACAAAATCACTGTTTTTCCTTATTTTGCAAGGACCCTTCTGTTTACTTTTTTTTTTTTTTATTTCAAAAGTGGACATGAATCACTATCATTATTTCAAGTACATGAAAAATAAGTTAAAGGACAGGCACAGTCATGCCTGCTGGAACTATTGGAAGTAACTGGAAAAACACTTAACTCAGAGCCTCAGATATTTCCTTACAGAATTCCTGTGAGTGAGTGTCAAGGTCTCCTACACCTACCCCCATGTAATGCTCAAGTCCCATTGCCAATGAGGATTTTTTTATTCAATTGATGTCACTGGGAATTAAGTCTTCACTCATAGTTTCTGCTGAATTCTTAATTTGCTAACAAGGGGGAGCACAGTAGAGAACTGATGGAAATTACCCTTTTGTTTTGTATGTCGCTGCACTTGGCATTTTCTGATGTTGTTCACTCCTACAGAGAGTTACATCCAGAAATCATATAATGTGAACCATAGTATACTTTGACACTGAGATATTCCCTTTTATTTTAGGTCTTATGGAAAATTACGATGCACTTCTTACTGCTACATTGACTCTACACAGTGTCGATACTTCACATGAGAGGAGTGGAGGTGGGTAGCATCCCACAGGTAGCGGGGTGCTAGGTGCTACACTATCATCTATCCAAGAAGGCCTGGGACAAAAAAAACCAAAACCCACCTCTGTGAAAACAAGCAAACAGACATCATGCTGCTGATGGCCATTTTTCGGTTTTGTTTGTTTTTTTTTTTTTTTAAATTAAGTCATAAGGAAAAAAATAGGACCATTGCATCCTGTCTTAATAGAGAAATGTCGAATAGTGTTTGCCAGTAAGACTTTCATGTGACTGTGGATGGCAACTTGCTCTCCATCACAAATGTGACGTTAAGCTACTGGAAACTGAATTTCACTAACCAGGAATATCGTGTAACGATTACCTCGACTTAGCACTGTTAAACCTACATGTAAGCTCTTCAGGGTTTTTGTCTTTAAACCTTCTCAGCATAAACACGAAGCATATCTTGGATGCGGTGTTTATAGAGACTTTTATTACAAATGTGAACTTTGCAAGTGTTGTATCCATGTAAGCGATGACTTCGGCAACATAACATTTAACTATACACTTTTGTGGGTCAAAGTAGCAGAGGCCCTTCAGTAAGTGCTTTAAAGATCAGCAAATCAGACAAAAAAAGCCGGTTAACTTCACTTTTGGGCTAAGAAGTTTGGCTGTGTGCATCTGCGTGCACGCAGAGAAACACAAGCAGTCGCAGGAGGCCTGAAACTGCAGACCGCAAAGGGCAAACTGGACAAATAAACTGTGAAACAGCCAAGGAGCACTCTCCCAGGAGAAAATCAGACAAGGAGGGAAGATAAAGAAGGAAGATATTTCTGTATTTTTCACCTCTGTCTAGCTGGCTGGGCTCTGCGTCACCCCGAAGGGGCTGGGATAGCATCAGTTACCTGCCTGAAACCACAGCGTGACCACGTACACATTGCCTTTGCTTCGGTTTCCACACTGTAAGGTCTTTTGTTTTCATCCTCTTGTCCACCTGACCATCATCATTCAGTTACTGGTTATACCCTGCCCTCTCTCCCCTTCTCTCCCACTTGCCGTTTCCGCCGTCACATCTCGGGTACCCCGCAGTGCACGTTCTCACTTTTGTATCGCTGTAAATCAGATCTTGGAGTAGGGTGTTTATGGGTGCTCGTTCATGCTGTGTGATGTACATAGACTTCTGTTTTTCAGAAAGTTTGTTCAACTATATTATCTCTGATAGGAGACAGGGTAATTATATACTTATTTATTAGCAGGCACTAAAGAGAATATTTCACATGGGAAGCATATTAAATGTTACGTGATAAAGAGTCTATAACAGAAGAAAATTAAACAAAGGATGTGCAGAATTCAGGACTAAGAGCCTCAAATCAAGGTGTTATTTCCCTACGAGCCACTCTTCTGCTTTGTGATAAATGCTGTACCTTTGTGATAAGTGACTGTTTGAAATGCTTGAGTTACCTGTACCAGGGACAGCACTACAACAGCTGCACGTACACTGGTGCTTCGGGAAAGGTTAAATAAAGGTGGATGTTGCATTATAATGATAACACATGAAAGCAATCAAGAAATGCATATATCGCTTTTACCACCTGTATAGACTTTAACTCTGCATGTCCAAAGTGATAGTGGAAATCACCAATTAAAAAAACAAACGAACAAACAAACACCAAAATTAGTGTAATCTTTGTGTCTGTCACTTACCTGGGCTCTTTATGCTGCTGTGAAGTCAAGCCACCAGCTTTTGTAGCCCAGTTGAATAGTTCAAAATTTTTCTTCTTGTTGTTTTTTTGGTTTTTTTTTTTTTAAACAGAGGTCTTAATAAAAGCTCAAGGAACCACTGGGCCAAGGAACTTGCCCAATATAAGCTCTGGAAATCTGGACACTAGCACAGCTGCCTTTTAATTTCCTGTGCTTGTGCAAACGGCGGGTTCCAGCAGTGTCACAGCACGCTGGAGCATGTATCCCAGCGGGAGGCTCCCGAGGACAGCCACGTCCCCAGCACCACGTCCTGCTGGTCAACCCTCCAGCTGAACCTCTGGCAGCATCTGCTGAGTGTTACGATTCTGAGCTTGGAGAAACTTCATCTGAACTTCTCACCTTCTCCAAGGAGTTCAACTCTGCCCCCCCAAAACGCTGGAGTTTTTGAGAAGTTTCAGTTTTAAGTTGCATCATTTTTACAAGCTCCTACCTCCAAAGGACATTGAAGTTGCAAAGCCAAGTGCACGGAGGGTAGGAGTTGTGATTGTATAGGTAAAGTTGTACTGTGCTGCACGTGTTCAGGAAGGGGCACATCACTCTGGTCAGAAAACATTCACAAAGCATGGATTTTAAATGGACTTTACTAATACAGCATAAACAATCCAGCATCTTAACAGAGAGAAAGGAAAGTAAGATATAAGTAAAAAGACATTAAACAAGTTTCTTACTACTGTTACTGTCTTGTTCCCCTTATGATAAAGCAAGAGAAAGACATCTGGGAAGGTGTTAAGTATATATGATTTTTAAAATGGCAAAAAACCCCACTCTTCCTCCTTATTTCTGACATTCTTACTTTATTCTTAATTGGGGATTCTTCAGCTGGGTGGCACGTGGTCTGCTATGAATTATCTTCCCTCCTTCTCTGAATTTCTTAACACGTTGTGCCAAGTCTGGTTCAAAAGTTAATTGAAGTAGTTCAGTTCCTTGGCCTTTTGTAGCAGCAAACGCTTGCAGGGAAGTTTTCTAATGATTAGTATGCAACTCTACAGGAATATAAAAATAGTACAAGCTTACACCATGCACTGTATTAAATGTATACTAAAGATCCACTTAATATATGATTAAATATATGTAGTTACCTACTGCGTGTATTAGCAGCTCATGTCAATAAATCATGCTACCTTAGTTCTGTTATGTTCTTACTTCCACTTATTTCATTTTGGGTTTAACAACACAGCTTTTAAATATAATTACCTAGTTTAAGATGCTGAGGAGAGAAAATACCCTCCTCTCCCACGCCTGTTGCCTCTCCCTGCCTGCCACTGGACCCGGCTCCCTGTGACTGTGCATCCTCGTACCTGGTCCTGCTGCTGCCGCGGTCCCAACACTCCACGTGCAGAACCACTATGCTTTCATTGATTTCTGGTTGTAATCAGTGTAACATGGACTATTTTTAATGAGGCTTTGAGTTGCAGTTTGGGGGATTATCTCCTCCTGCTACCTCGTAACGTACTGGCTGGTTTGTAACTCCTGCCAGAGGCTGAGCCGATGGCTGCAAAGCAGAAAGGAATGGTGTTGGGTGCTGATGGGCAATGGGAACAGCGATGTGGCACCTATGATTCGATCACTCCAGCAGCCAGTGCCCAGGCTTTGGCAAGAGGCTCCTGCCTTGCAGTGGCAGCTGGCAAGTTTGTCCTTAAGCTTGGGACATCCCAGAGAAGGACGGTACTGTCTCGGAAGTGGAAGTGTATTGATGACCAGAGAATGAATGAGCCTTTGGCGTGCTATATTTTCTGCCTGTCGTTTCTAACAGCTCAGCTTCTTTGACATTCACCTCTCTGGCTTCCCAAATGCCTACGTCATTCCTCTCTTCTCTTCAGATCATTCAGAACTGTAGCTGCCAGCCCTGTCCTTGCTCATAAATCTGGCCATGCAGCTCATCTCCTCTTTTCTTTGTTCTCATGGCTTCTTTTAATGGCACCAAAGTTCATATCCTTTGTAGCCCCTCCAAAACCCTGCAATGCTCTCGCTGCTCTGCAGGCACTGGATTTTGTCAGCTTCTTTTTCAGCCTCTCATACCATCCATTTTCTAACATCTTCTGCATGTCGCAGCCCACACCCTTGGCCATGATTCTTACCTTCTTAAAGGTAAGAAGGTAATGTATACTAAAGATCCACTTAATAAAAAGCACTGAATTATAGCCCTGGCCTTT